TCTGTAAAAAAAACGATCGATTGAGACAGGATTTGTTAGTGACGGATAGAATCCGATCCAGAAGCTTACCGAAAGCTCGGGGAACGGTGAATCACAAGCTAGAAGGTGAAAGAGATAAGAATATCACCTCGGAGCAGAGAATTCGATGATGAACAACGATGTTGAGTTATGTAAGAGAGAAAGATTAACGAAGAAATTATTATTAGGGTTGATTTTTATTGTGCGGCAAAGCCTTACAATTTATAGTAACGTTGCAAATTGAATATGGAAAACTAAATAAGTAAACTATAAGAAATAGGAAAACACGAGATATGTGATTCCTATCACATCGATCTCTCTGGATGTTTGTCGATTTCTCTCTCTCGATATCTCGTGAGAGTCTGGCAACGAATACGGATTAGCAGATCCGGATCTGTATCAAGCCGCCGATAAAGATGACCCTAAAGCTCTCCTCGAAGGAGTCGCTATGGCTGGTCTCGTTTGCATTTTGCGTCAACTCGGTGATCTCACCGAGTAAGTTTCTCTAATCTCCAGTGGTTCGATTTCCTCTTGGTGTTGTGAATTTCAGTAATCGAGCTTAAATCGGGTCGAATTTGGATTTTTTGGTTCTACTGTTCTTGACCCACAAGATTAAAAGCAAGAATTGTTTGACGAATCTGAGGGTTTTGTCTCTGGATTTGGTAAAAAGTTTGATTTTTTTTTTATGGAATTTTGACTTATTTTGAGATGAAGGTTTGCTGCTGAGATGTTCCAGGACTTGCATGAAGAAGTAATGGCGACTGCTTCGAGAAGCCATGGTCTTATGGCTCGTGTACAACAGCTTGAAGCTGAATTTCCTTACATAGAGAAGACGTTATTGTACCAGACCGATCCTGTGTCTATGCGCTATGCTTGCATAACTTTGGGCTTCAACGTTGAGTGGGTGAAATCCGACCCCAACATTCCTTATGTTTCTTCGGAATCGGTTTGGTCTCAAAGTCATGTTTCGATTTTCGCTTACCCAATAAATTACCTGATTTCTTGATACAACTGATCATGGAGAAGAGAGCGACTGCCTATTTTCCGACTGCTAAGGAAGAAGGTATTTATAAAACAATAATCTAGTTTGGGCTGGGCTTTTATTGGTTGGGCTTTTATGTTTTGCTTGAAAAGTTAGACTTATCCATGTGTCCTCATAATAACCATATATTTATTTCCCAACATGATTATAGGTAGTAAATATGATTGGGGTAATATATAAATTTTATAGTATTAATTGTATTGAGATTGATGAAT